GGGTTCCGGCCCACTGTCAAAGGTAGTTGTGAGGAGATGTGGAATAGGGACCCGGTATTGTTTGCAGCACTCTTTTCTATGGCCATTTTACCTCACCGACATGCTCCTTGTGTGCCGCCTCTCCCATACATGCTACCACAGCATACTATACTCGACTTGTGACTTCCTTCGGGTCACCTCATCCTCTCAGTGATCTTAGTCCACTGCGACGGGATTCCCTCATCTTAACGAGACAGTTTCACTTTTGAAACTACTCCCTTACCACCTTGTATATGATTCGTTTCATTACGTTTCATTCTTCCTCGTGCATTGTCTACGGACTTCCTAGTGCCCTAAGGGCTTTCTCCAGTGTTCGTTTATAGTGTTTCGGTTATAATACATTCCCGCCTCAGGCGGTGTTGAGGACAAAAAAAAAAAAAAAAAAATAAAAGAGCTGCGAACATACATAAAAGCGGGACACTCCGTATTAGGAAGGTGTTTCCCACGAGCGAATGATCGAAAAAGTACAGTAATGCTTAGTAGCGCTATCTACATGCAGTGCTCTTTGAAGTCCGACTCTAAAATCTGACATTACTGCTAGCGAATGGACCCCTTCTGCAAAGTGTGCTTGCGTTGGTCCAGGCCAGCCATCGTACACAGCGTAACATATAGCTGATTTCCCGGTGCGTTTCCATCGCATCGGACTTGCCAAATGCGGTAATCTTCTAGCTAATTCCGCGGAACTGAAGATTGTATATATACACAAAACCTGGATGAGTGTTGAAGTCCAACGCCCGGTTTCTCCAGGGAATTCGCGCCTTACTCACTCTCATCAGCATCTCTTTGTTACTCCACCCTAAGTCACCAACATCTTTTGCTACTACCACCCTAACCCTGCCCAAGGGAACCCGCCAATAAATTCCCCCGGTGACGTTCCACAAACAATCTTCCGCTCGCATCCGAGCAACTTGGGGATCCGCACCGTTGCATTGCAGTCCCTCTTTGCTACGGTGCCCTCGAGATTGGTAGCAACTGGTCAACACGTTTCCCAATCCCACGTTTAGTCACTTCCCTTGTCGCTGCTGAGCAATGGCAGTTGCCTGACCATATTTCCTTGCCTAGGTTGCTGTCCACTGTATGTTTCACACCTCGCCGCCACGTTAGACAACATCAGTATATCAACAATCCAAGACATAACCCAGTTATAGGGCAGCCTCGGAAGGCAGGATATTATTGAATTCCTAGCTGAAAACTGTGGCCAGGAGATGACTGTTCTCAAGATGCATTTACTCGTTGACATCTGTATTCGAGGTCAATACCCTGCTTTTAATGTTACACATCATACTTCCGGCAGGCTGGTCATCCCGGATGGCAATGGCCTTCAATGGATGGAAGACTTGTTAGTGCGTATATTGCCAAGCCTTGCTCCCTCAGTCAAAATTTTCTGATGTAGGTATTTGGGCATCAAAACATACAGTGGTGCTGGGCACCATGGGAAAGAAGTGGGTCAAAGAGTTTCTCACTGAATGCGGTGTAGGGTTGAAGATGACACGACTTCAGTTGGAAATTCTTGCGGATGGTATCTGTAGGTTGGTTAGGTAGTCTGTTTAGTAGGGCACATTACAATTGTTCCCTCTGTCAAACTTAGTGCTTGTGCTATAAATCTGTAGATATGTTGTGTTCAAATGATGACTGAATTGGACATTATTCATTCATTGCTACTGCACCTGCTGCACTACTTGGTAACACACCATCACAATATCAGTAGATGTTTATCGCACCATTTGAAAGTCTTTTGATAGTAATCCAACCTACTGTACATTGCAAACCAAACAAGCAAATATTCCTATGTGAATATACACCCACACTAATTTTCAATTTTAGGGACAAGTCACACTCTCCTTGAAAGACATCTGCATGACTCAAATATCATACATTTGGATTGTAGCAGATCACTATTAGTACACATTTGCAACTCAACAGCTCTCTGCAGTTATTTGATCTACCCGTGACTGAGCCTCACCATTCGAAGAAATCAGTCATCACTACATACCGATAACAATTGCTGTATGCTAACAGTCAAGTTCCCATGTCCGCGAGGAGCAGTCCTGCTTGACAAATATATTTGTACACCTACAAAAAATTTAGCGCCATCTGGATGAGCACTCGAATAAAGCTCAGACTTACCTCTGCAATGAAGCTAGGGTCAAGATGCACGTTCGCGTTTTTGACACACTCGTGTTCATTTTTATGAGCGAGTTTCTCGGTGAGGACGTCACCATCGATAATAGCCTGAGTGGACATGAAAAACGGTCTCTATAAAACCGTACCTACAAGCTCTGCGCCAGTGCCCGAATGCAATGCTCCCCAGCCGCAAACGCGGCCGTCTTCTCGGTACTCCTAACGCTCGCGGCTGAACCTAAGAAGAAGAACGTGCCCTTGGTCTGCTTGTCACCAGCCAGCCCACCTTCGGCGGCCGTCTCGGGCTCCCCGGCGTTCCAGAGGGCGGCGGAGGGACAAGTTGGGGAAAGTAGACTTGATGCTCGTGAAGGTGGACTGGATCAACTTCCCAGAGTACAGTTGACATGCTGGAAATGCATAGGATTTTGGCTGGTCCTGAGCTATTGCCAGCCAATTATGCATTATGGGATTGATCACAGCCAATCATAGCCACACTGTAGCCTTATTTTTGTACCTCCGACATTGCCAAGCACTGCTCAGCATCACCCATTTGGGCTCAAAAATGTACATTAAAGCTGCTTCTTAACCAAAGAGGCAGTCCTCATTAATTCCTCGCATGACTAGCTTGAAGCGTGGGCCTGAGTAGCCCGAGAATCAAGCTCAACCTTCCAAATGCGTCAAGACAACAGACAACTCCTCCGACTCTTGCACAAAGCGGAACGATCTGACAACCAAATAATGGCTCCATGTCTTCAAATACTGGTATTCTCACAAAGATTCAATGAGTCAAACAGCCGCCGCCAACTATTTTCGGTCTCTCAAAACAGGGGCACTCGAGTTTGATCAGGGAACGCTTTCCCGCGCTCTCAACTAGAAGCGTACACAGATTGAAGCTCATGCTCATGCAACTCCGGCTGGCCTCTCAACAAAGAAGGACCGGGCTGCCAAAGTTCCTGGTTACGACATGAAGAACTACTCAACGCTAAGCAGACTTCCTTAGATAATTACTTTGCTAGATAGTTGTTACCTAATGTCACATTTTGTCGAAAATACAGTCACGTGATTTCAGTGCTTATCGTCGGAACTAAACACTTGCATAATGCTGGAAATGCATAGGATTTGGGGCGGGCTCATGCCCATGCATTTCCAGCATGTCAACTGTACTCGTAGACGGGGAAGGCGGCTACCTAGACGTATACGAAGAAATGTCACCCTTGCTTCAGCCAACCGTTGATGCGTTGTCACCCATTTCGTCCCAGCGGATGTTAATGATAGTGCGTTCCAAAATTTCATATAGCCTCATTACGATTGTTCGAATAGGAAGAGAACGTTTTGATTGAGTATCTTTCGGAGCGTGTTGCAAGACCCCGGTCCATTCAATGCTAAGAACGCATCGTGACATGTGTCTTGTCGGAATATGCCGCACAGTTCTCCAGCATCATTGATTCATTACCGAGGGCATTTGTGTCGATAGCGTTCGAGCTACAATCAACGCATTGTCTCCGCGCAATCTTCGCATTTTTCTTGGGCTGATAACGACTGAAACAGGGAAGCTCATAGGCGCTGTTTGGTCGTTCCTAGATACGAAGGTAAACAGGTCTCTCCGGAGAGTTGTCATTTACCAACGGTATGACCGGAACGCCGACTCCCCATCGACAATGACGTTCATCGGAGGTTGAACATTCTCAGCCACACCTTTCCGCCACCAGTCGCGAGATTTGTGTTATTGCTTCTATGTACTGTTCATGTTTAAAATTCCATATTAGAGACCCTCAGTGCGGCTATGCTCAAGGTTCTGCCTCGAGCTGCGTCGAATCATATTCTATTTCTCAGGGGCCGGAGCTTCAGCGGCACTTTTCTTGTGATGATGTCAATTTAATGTGCACCTGAGGGAACGTGGATCTACGAGGGTATGAACCCGCTCGTTGACACGGTCCAAAGTCAACGTTCAACTCCCACGCTACACCACCCCCAAACAGAGTAACCAAGCTAAATTTTGCCATCAACCAGGACCATCTCGAGTCTCGATACGCGTACCACCACTGTAGTACAATCTGAATCACAATGGCGCCTGCGCATGTGCTTGCAGTTTATGACATATGCAGCATGATATGCGAGGCTCTAGGCGATCTCGATCTCAAGACGCTCAAAAACTTCGCGATCGTCTCAAAAGCAACAAAGGATCCAGCGTTGGATGCATTATACTATCACGTCACGCTGCAAGATTTTCTGCGTTGCTTGCCGCAGATTCTGCTGATTGTTAAAGATACACCTATTATGGTATGCATGAAGTCGCATTGATTAGAAAATGATCATACCAATAAGACTCACTTGTGCGACAGACATTCTCGCGTTCCATGACAGAGAACGATTATGCTACCCTGGATAGGTACAGAGACCGAGTCCGTATTCTCTACGTCGCCGCACTGCCAGAGGTGGACATCCGCATCTCTGACGAGTTGATCAATCATTCTCCTACGTCCTTGTTTCCCAAGCTTCGTATCTTCGATGTGGAAGAGGACGCTCGCCTACCTCCGCCCCTGTATCGTCAGATACTCTGCCCTACTCTCATGGACATCAGCTGGTTCTTGCACGACGAGATTGGCAATGGGGTCATTGATTACCTACCTCAGTTATGCCCTCACCTTCAACGTCTGACTATCCTCAGCCATGAAAAATGCAAGGGGATGCGGCAGCCTGTCCTGGTAGGCCCGGGCATGATGTTATCCGCGCCTCGCAGTTTCTTTGTCCGCTCTCCTCTGGATAGCACAGATGCATCCCTCCCTTTCCGCCTAGCGCACATAGGTCCGCTGATGCCTGGTTTGAAGACCCTCAACGTCCGCGCGCCTAGCGTCAGCGTCAGGCCGAACACGATGATGGAAGCAATTGCACGGTTTCAGGGCCTGGATCGGTGCGTTGCTGTGAAATCTTGGCCGCTTACGTGCGTCGGAGTCGGGGAAACTCCAAGGAAGACTAGTGAACACTCATTTCCAAACCTCAAGGCCCTTGCAGCTGGCGGCGGAAACTCTGAAGATCTTTTTCGTTTGCTACAATGCCTCCAACCCTCTGTCTTCCCCAACCTCGTTATATTCGTAGCTGATCTGAGCCCAGAGGTGTATCCAAATCATGGCTTGAAGGGTGATGTACTGGAGGCCATCTCGGAGTGTTTACCTACCGAAACTCTGAGAACTCTGAAACTTTGGGAGGTGTGGCGTGGCGCCCCATCAGGGAACATGATGGATGAAGCCGCTTTTCGCACGCTCTTCAGGTTCTCTCATCTCACTGTTCTGCATTTTCAACTGGAACAAGAGATAGACATGGACGACAACCTGCTCGGAGATCTGTGCTTGGCTCTTTCCCACCTAGAAAGTCTTCGCATACAGCGTTGCGTAGCATGGAAACCAACCACCCGAAGAGTTACCCTGAACGGGCTGGCACAGTGCGTTTCGCGGCTCCTAGCTCTCAAAGAACTTGCACTCACTGTCGATACCCGCACTGAGGTCAACGTTGAATTGGAGACCTTGCCTCCAAACCATATTCGCCCCAATCCTACTATTACTGTGCTTAATCTGGCATTATCTCCCCTTGATGACCCTCCTTTCACGTTCCATCAGCTACGCGTCCTCTTTCCCAACCTCAGAGACCTCGTTCCTGCAAAAAAGGACAACATGTGGTTAACATGCGACGAGCTCACCCGAGACCTTTGGGTAAGAGTCTCTTTGATGCTCGGAGGGGAGTAAAGAACCGCTCGGCCACGCCCTTGTTGGTTAGGTAGAGATTGTTGTTAGTAAATGCCTATAGTCAACACAATCATGTATTTCCTGTCCTGCCCTACCTTACCATGCTGTATCACACAGAGAATACTGTAAGAGGGGCTCCCTACAGTCGTTTTCATTTCGATAGACCAGTTTCTGCTTATGTGGAGCAAGAAACTCTGTTTACTTTTGGAGCCCCGTTGGAGTGCGCGAATGCACTGGGAGGGTCAGAATCCCTAATATGGAGATGTCATGGAGTCAGGGACGAGCGAGCCCGTGGATCGCTCAGGACTACCATCCTGCTATCTCTTCGGGCAGAAGTATGCGATAACGGGCTTTAATTCTGGTCTCAAGGCTTAGGTATGATGCTTGAACCTCAAGGATGTAGGTGACGTGTATTTTCAGAGATGATAGATCAATCTTAGTCAAGATTGCAACAAAGAAACGCGAAGGGACGAGAGGACAACAGCAAACAAGTTATGTGTCCCATGGGGAAACAGTACTAAGTTCACTGCCAGTAAACAAGGCTCCACGCTCCACAAGAGTGAAATCTGGTCTATCGAATTGAAAACGACTGTAATACCATGCACCATGCACCATGCACCATGCACCATGCACCACAGACCACATAACCCATACCACGCACTATGCACCTGTGGAAACCACGCACCACGCACCATGCACTGCCACACACTACCATGTACTGGGGGCAACTGCCCATGTTTTTGTAAAAAAACATTTAAGATGTTTTGAGGGTTGCCTTCGTAATTGGGAAGGTCACCTTTTAAATTTGGCATTTTGAGCAAAACATTTAAAATATTTTTGACATGTTTTCCCCGGAAACATCGACTAATACCCCCAGTGATGCACCACGCACCTCACCAAGATCACCAGATGGCTGCTTATCCTATCACCACCATGCAGATAAAATATATGTTGTTCGCGTCGATGATTTTCGAGTGTTTTGGGAATGACTCACCCAATAAGGCAGCTGTTGCCAAGCCAGCTATATAGACGATCTGACACCTGAGGCACCGGCAAATCGAACACGCGGGGAGATTGTTATGGATCTTGAAAAATATTACCGGGCACTCGAGATGATATAAGGTTTTGAATCACTCTTACAGTGAACGGGGACGAGTTTATGGTCGATTGTTACGACTCCGATGACCGGACTCGGACCTGAAACTAGGTCCCAGCATCCGTGCCCTTTACGCCCACAGAGGCCCCGTACACCTCTATGGATAATTAAGATCCGAACCATTATATTGAAGAACCATATATCTCGATTAAGGTCAGTACATTGTATATAAGAGCATGTTCAGACGTTCACGCACTCCTTGATGTGCCCCCTCAGACTCGTCGCAGCAAAGCGCTTCTTGCAGCGTGTACACTCTTCTACTAGCCCAGTCCACTCAGTAAGCGACAGCCCATTCCCACCTGCTAATCTCGCGAGCAAGGCCTGCTCGATTTCAGATGTA